GGGTCAACTGTATATACCAATCTCTTTTTATAATTGTAAATCACATAAATTTCCTCTTATGGCCGTTTAAGTGCTTAAGCTAATCGTCATAAAGTAAGAAAAAAAAGAACTATGTAACGGTTGCAAAGGACAATGTAAGCTACTCGATTGCCAGTGAATTTGCCTCCACAATAAAAAACTTTTTTAGGGCTACCAATGATACTTAGAAATGGCGTCTTGCATTTTCTCGCAGTGAATTGACATAATTTTAATTTTTCTACAGCCTTGTTGCATTTAATGCTCATATCTGGAGTGATGAAAGCAAATATTAATTGCTTTTCAAAGCGAGAGGTTTTGGAGCAGAAGATATTGCAAGATGACGCAGAAATGGATGTTGCCATTATGTGGGTTCCTACTGTACCCAATGGTAGCTTCAACCCTGTTGTTCCTTTGATTGAACCATTGCACAATACTTCATTGCCTAGAGACTCTGACAACTGTGACATAACGTGTAACGGGGTTGCAGTGTGTGCGCGTTTCTTCGGACATGCCATTGAAGCATGTTTCATATTGTGTCACTACTGTCTTCACTGTTACCACGAGTACTGCGTAGGTGAACGCTTTGTGCTAGGTGAGAAATGGAACTGTTCTTGCCACATTGACATCAACGCTCTTACAAGGTAAGTCTGGTATAGCTAGAGGCTCTGACACTTTCTTTTTACTTTTTACTCTTTACTCTTAAGTATATTCATCAGATTTTCAATTCGCCTTGTCATTCTGGTTTCATCAGTCCAATCATGCCCTTTGTTCTAATGGCCATTTAAATTTGACTCGTTGATATCTCTCTCTCATTAGTTTGCTTTGCTAATTTGTTCACTCTTTTGTCGTTTTCTTCCTGGAAGCTGTAAAAACGCTGATTTTTCATTTTCGTAACCGATAGTACTTCCATGAGATGGTACCTTCATTTAAAGCTTGAGTAAGGTCCATTTCTGTAATTGTTTGCACTCGAGTACGCTTTTCTTGTTATAGATTATACGCTATATGACAAGAACAGTAGTAATGCTATTTGTGTATTGACTGAATTGATTAAGACAACTGGTATACAGCTGAGCACTGCCTTAAACTCTAGCTGTACTGATGATATTAGGCGAAACCAGTTCCTTACCAATTAATTATTATAACTTCCGTGTAAAGGAAAAGCATGCAAGCTAGTGCCTGCGAAAGGTTAGCAGTAGCGTTTAGATGTGGTGCATGATATATGAGCTTTTATAATTATAATTTTTGGCAGTCTTCCAATGCTCAATGCTAAAGAAGAGGCTAAGAAACTTTTCCTCGCACGTTCAAAGGATATTGAGGTATCTTTTAATTCACTTATCTGTTAAATTCATCCAAACGTTAGCAGAAAATTTGCATTGCTATGTATTTGATAGCCGTCAGTGCTGGAAAAATATAGCTGTGATAGTTTAAGAAAACATCAATTATCTTGAATATTCTAGAAGGTAACCTACTTCGCCTTCGAATTTCATAGTGATTTCCTGTACCTAATTGAATCTATAGTTAATGTAGCTAAAAATGTACAAAGAGATATTGCCAGGAGAGTTTGAGGCTACTGCTCACTGAGCGCATTTTTAAGTTCAGAATTTTAAAACATTGCATTTACTTTTTTTCTATCTGAAGAAATTTTCGGCAAACATCTCGAAGAAGTTGATTTTCTCGCCTCGCATCTTTATGTTTGAAGCCAACAGCAGCAAACTACTTCGTGAAATGTGCAATTTCATGTGGCTAATGGACTCTTCTGCGGTATGTTTTTTACTTTCATTGTCATTCTTGTAATTAAATACTGTTTTTATCAACCCACTATACTTATATAATTTCGATATTCACAAAGCTTTGATAGTACTCTCTCACATACCACATTTCAGTCAATCGCTTCTTATCTGCCGAACTTAAATCCATTCAAAAGCTTTACTTTTGTGTTAACATGTGCTGCAAAAATACTATAACATTTATAGGAACAGATATTCATTGAATTTGTTAATCGTGTTGAAAATCAAATCAAGCAGTTCAAAGGGTTGGATTTATCACTGACATGCTGTTTCCAGAGGTAAATCTTTCCGCCATTGCTGCCATTTAAGGATAGCTAAATCCCATGTTTATCTTCAGATATTACTAATACTGTAGTTCCATCCCTACCTAACAACAATCAAGTGTGAATATCTCCTAAAATAGCTTTCTCTACATTGCATAGTTTTTTAAAAGCTAGTGGGTATTTTTATTTGGGATGAAGAGTATAAACACATACCTTTTCAAAGTATTAATAAAATCTTATCTTTTTTAGATCATAGCTTAACTCATACATTGTATCGACGACATATCAATTACACATGCATGCGAGCTTATACACCGAAGAGTATAAAGCCGTTTCTCCTTAAACTCAAATTATGTTTTCTAAATTTCTTCGCAAAAAATATATAGAATAATTAAATTAAATGCATTATGCATTCATACACCAAAATCCCCTGCAGCATCGATTCCCCAAGTATATCTGACGATTGGCTACTAAGATGAAAAAAAAAATGTCCACTTTTTGCGTTCAGTAGCCAATGTATCCATCGCATGTATAAAAGTTGTTGGAGCCACATGAAATCACGATTTTCATAAAACAATGATATTTATAGCCTGTATGTTGTGTTTTAATGCAATTTTCGTTAGAGTTTTCTCGAGGTTTTAGTATATCTGACGATTGGCTACTAAGATGAAAAAAAAATGTCCACTTTTTGCGTTCAGTAGCCAATGTATCCATCACATGTACAAAAGTTGTTGGAGCCACATGAAATCACGATTTTTATAAAAAAATGATATTTATAGCATGTATGTTGTGTTTTAATGCAATTTTCGTTAGAGTTTTGTCGAGGTTTTAGTATATCTGACGATTGGCTACTAAGATGAAAAAAAAATGTCCACTTTTTGCTTTCAGTAGCCAATGTATCCATCGCATGTATAAAGTTGTTGGAGCCACATGAAATCACGATTTTTATAAAACAATGATATTTTTAGCATGTATGTTGGGTTTTAATGCACTTTGATTGACATAGCTACCATAGGAAAAGTGATATTTATAGTTTCGTAGACTCTTTGCTAGGTTAATGCGATACTCTTGATGATGGGGCTTCATACAACGATAAAAAATATAAAAACGGCTGGCCTAACAAGAAGTAGCTAAGCAATCTTCTTCGTGCAATTGTACCTTATGTGCAATAGCTGAATATGAAAAGGTGGGAGGAGCATTGAAAAGCAGATTTTTTGCAATCATAGAAAAAACAACGTAATGTTCCGTAATGCATAAAAAAAACAACGTAAATTGTTCCGTAATGCAACAATATGTTAAATGTGAACTTTATGGTATGGCTCTGGCAAAAGAGACGAAAAAAGGCTGATTTTTTCATTGTTTTCTGCATTTTATATGTTTAATGGCCCTAATTCCACCTTCAAAATGTGTCAAAAGATTGCATCAAGTAATCCTTCATAAAACTGCCGGGAAAGCTCCAATCGAAATGAGACTTCGTATAATTATTGTTTATACTATCGGAAAACAAGATTTAGAAGTTTCATTATAAAATCAAAGAACAATTCTGAGAAATGACACTATGATTTTGCTGCAGCCCTATTTCCACCCACCTGTAGACAATTATTTTGTGGAAAAAACCAATGTATTTTTTAAAATGAATGATGAAGCAGCAAGAATTTTGCGTGAAAATGTTATTTTGGCTACTATTAACAACCCTGAGTATTTTTTACCGTGTATAAATAGCTTTTTTGGCAAAAAAATCAGAAAATCTTCATTTGGACCACTTGTTGGTGCCTTTCTCGGGTTTTTTTGCCACCTGCTCCAATGGTCTGTCTTGACCCCGTCCTTTTGGTACGAGAATGCTACATCACTTGTGAATGCAAGCCAATCTTTTTGTTCTTCAAACTTTATTCCATTCTGTGCACATGTACGTTTGTATAGGCACCAACCATTGCTGGCCTTGTCACAGCAATGTGCTGCTTTTCTTTGCTAGACCACCTTCTTATTGCTTCAATAGGTTCAGTGTATGCACGTGACGTAATAAACAACACATTTGTATCGTCCCTTGTTTTATGTCTATACGCCCTAAATTGTAATTAGTCAGTAAATTCATCAAGACGCAACGGTCACACAATATCGTCTCTCGCTGGCCCCGTGTTTTCTGCACGTTAAATCAGACATAAAAACGACAGCATTCGCAACAACAAAAGCAAAATTAAATATTGGAACATCGTCAATCAGCGTTCCTATATATGTATGTATGTATATATGTATGTATGTATGTTCTCACATCACCTACCTTGTGGGGACAAAAGTATGACTACACACCAGCATTCTGAGGACTGTCGTAATTGTGGGGACAAAAATCTGGACCCCACAACGTACATTCCTTGTTTTCCCTTAAAATCATCAATTCTAAACCTTCTACCCAGTTTCTCAAATGTCCCCACAATGTTGATGTAACAAATGTACGTGTACATTGTGGGGACTTTTTTACACCCATGACGTTTGCTCATCACCGGACCTCTGGGGACAAAATAAACACACAAGACATATTATCGCTTTTTCTCGTTTGAGATAATTCTTCAATCTTGCAAATCTCTTGTGATTATCAATTAAACAACAAGGTTAAATCACGTAAAATGGTAATAAAACTGAATTAAAATTGTAAATGTTACTGTAATTAGCAACGTATACGACTGTACTGAATTGCGCTCTAATAAGAGATTTTATGTATTTGTTACATTGAAAATTCGAGCTCTTTCCTATTTCGCAACATTATTGGTGTAATAAGCTTATTTCCGGGATCATCAAAGTAGTTCATATAGAAAATGATGTTTTAGGTAGAATGAAACTTGAATGATCATCTTATGGAGTTAAAAAATTTATAACTGCATTCCACCACTTTTGAACGCAGTTTCTCAATAAGTATCTATATTTCACTAAGCAATAGACAGACAATTGTTGGGGGTGCATACAGGGATGTTTCAAGAAACTTTAGCTAGGGGGGGGGGGTAGAGCATTAAATTAACCTAAAAATCAGGTTTTTTTAAAACTTAAGTTTAGACCGTGAGATTTGTACATTACAGATTGCCAATAACAGATTTTGAAGAAAGTCGTTTAGCCTTAGCTATGTGATTTTGCACAAAGTCTTTAACATTTTGCCATGTCCGATTCTTTAGGACTGCACTTTCTGCGATAAGTTGGGTTGCGTCCGATTTTCCTGGCAAAACGCCTTTCTTAATCTTGTCAGCATAATGCTTTAACACCACAGACGATTCCTCTTTACCCCATCGACTCCGTTTGCCTACTCGCCTTTTCCCTGCATGCCCTAGGGGAAAATAACACATCTTTGTTGCACTGTTTCTTGGATTTTGAAAGATCATAGATAAGGTATCATTGTTCTCTTTGATATAAGAATAATTACTGTTATAAATGATATTTGTTGCTTTGGTTGGGGAAGGCATGGTTAACATATTTACGAACAATTCATCATTGCACGAAAATTCATCGCACAGACGCAATAACAATTGTATATTTAAATTAATATGCCAGTTTTTTGGCAATTTAATCCCAGGCCAGCTTGAAATATGGTCATTGAGAATTGCAGATGAATGTGCCAAAGGCACAGTAATCATGGTTCAAATTGGTTTTTTTAAATGAGGACTATGAAGCACATGAGCAAAGAGAAGGAAAAACAATGACAAAAGCATTTTAGAATTCACACTTTTTACAAAGATTTTGCATTATGGTATTTTGTGTAGTGTCAACTTGCGTATAGAAAGCATTGTTTACTCTAAGGTTTCTAATAAACCGGGAATTTCAAACACTTTGTGTAATAACTTGTCGTTTAGATTGACAACTTTCTCAATGGAATAGGAAGTGTAGAAAACACATTCATTTGGCAAAAAAAATTCTTTTCTCCAAAAAATAAAAATTCATAAACCATCTCTCATAACTTAAAATTTCATTTATGGGGGGGGGGATGGGGAAGGGTGTTCGTGGAAATGAAACTGAATAAATTTATAAGTGTCCCCCATTTGTTAGAAACCTAAAGCTGCATTCACATTTATCGCGGTATCATGCGGCGCACTGCGGCATGATGCGGAAAAAACGCGTCGGTCCTGTTCACACTTGACGCGTTCTCTTCCTAGCGTTTTTCTGTAATGGCGTGTAAACAAGACGACGTTCTGCTAGCTCTGGCCTATCGAAATCGATTGATTGCGTTGAATTTATTGGAGAAAGGCAAAATAAAGCGGTCTTTTTGGGTAAGAGAATTATGGAAATATCGAGAACAACAAGGCCACTTTGACAACTTGGTACAAGAGATGAGGCTAAACGACCACTCTATGCATTTCAATTTTTTCAGAATGCTTCCTTCTACTTTTGACGATTTACTCAAATTAGTTGGACCTGCGCTGCTTAAAAAGAAGAGCCGATTTCGGGAACCATTATCCCAAGCATTGAGGCTTGCTGTAACATTGAGGTACTTAGCCACTGGAGAATCACAGGCATCATTGTCATTCAATTTTAGAATTGGCAGATCCACTGTTTGTGAAATTCTTGATGATGTCCCTGAAAAAATCTGGTCGATCTTATGTCCCATTTCAGTACCTGTTCCTCAAGATCAAAATGCTTGGAAAAAGATCGCAAATGATTTTTGGAATCTATGGGGTTTTCCTTTATGTCTTGGTGCTGTCGATGGAAAACATTGTGTTGTTGTTTGCCCAAACAACTCAGGCAGTGCATTTTTCAATTACAAAGGGTCTTTTTCCGTCGTTTTAATGGCTGTTGCAGATGCAATATGTTCACTTTAGTAGATATCGGAGACTATGGCAGACAGTGTGACTCTAGTGTCTTCAATAATTCCAATTTTGGTGAGGCATTAATCGAAAACAGTCTGGGAATACCCGACAGTGACTTTTTGCCTGGTACAACAGTGAGTAGCAGGTACTGTTTTATTGGAGATGAAGCATTTCCTCTTCGAGAAAATTTGCAACGCCCTTTTCCTGGGAAGGGTTTACCAGAGAGCTTAAGAATTTATAACTATCGACTTTCCAGGGCTCGCAGAGTAGTGGAGAATGCTTTTGGCATACTCTCAGCTAGATGGAGATTTTTGAGAGCACCTATTCAAGCTCAGCCTGAAAAGGCCAGTAAAAGCATCCTTGCAGCTATAGCCCTACATAACTGGCTAAAAAAGCACGATGACAGTCAAAAAGCGTAAGGAAGGATTTACTGCCCCCCAGGTTACATTGATTATAAAGATGCCCATGGTATTCTTCATCGCGGAACATGGAGATCTGAAGTAACAGAGTCTGGCTCTCTTTCAGACATTAAGCAACTTGGTTCTAATAATCATAGTAGATCCGCCCAAGCTTTTCGACAGAAAGTCGCAGACTACTTTCAGTCTGCACAAGGAGAATTGCCTTGGCAGTATGATTACGTAAAAAGAACATCTTATGAGCCAATCAAATAAATCATTAGTTAACCTTGCTATTTCCGTTGCTTTATATATAATATTTTTTACCACTATACTTAAATTGAAAAACAAAAAAAGTTATTTCTCGTTGACCCTGGGGTGCTGAAAAGACAGGAGGGGCTCAGAATTAACAGGAAAAGGCGCCTTTTATTGAAAAAATGGGACAAGAATCAAAATGGGAAAAGCACATCACACATTAATAGGAATATCTGCTTTCATAAATAGAAATATCTGCTTTTCATAGTGCAAAACGAGGGCAACATGGGAGAAGCTCATCATAATGCTTTCATAAATAGATGAATTTCATGAATATCTGCTTTCATAAATAGAAATATCTGCTTTTCATAGTGCAAAACGAGGGCAACATGGGAGAAGCTCATCATAATAAAAAATTTCTTTAAGTCGCCATGAAAACAGCTCTTTGAAGCAATTTTTTTTCAAGTCCACTCCAAGAGAACAAATATTTTGAAAGTAAATTTTGAAAAAAAATTAAAAATGTTTCGTTTTTATTAGTTTAACTTTACGACGAATGTCGTATCCATCCAGAAACTAAAATCATCTATTGTAAAAATTGGCATGTTATTAAGAGGTCCTTTTCAAAGGGTAGGGGCTTATTTAGAATTTTTAGTTCCAGATTAGGGGCCTATTTGAGGAGATTGCTTATGCAAAAGGGGGGGGGGGGAGAGGCAATTCAATAATACCACAGTGGTCAATAGTATCTCCCCTCTCTCAAACGTCACCCCATTTTAAAAAGACGCTATCTAATCTAATAATGTTATTCAAGATCGAAAAGGTTCTTAATGCTACCAAATTTACGTTTTACAACTGGCTCTCACTCAGCCACTTAACTTCATGTATAACATGTTGGATTTTTATTTTAGCAAGGCTTTTTTGGTATTGACTTAGTTTCTTCAACTGTTTCCCGACACTTTGCCCAAACAAATCATCTTCATCAGGCTTCTGGCGACTGCATGCTGCTGCAATAAAGTCATTGGATTCCTTCAAAGCTTGTAACAGCAGCTCGTTACTTGTGTCTTCTTGACCCTTTCTGCGCTTTTTTGATTTAACTGTTTGTACAGTATTGGCAGGTATTAACGAAGAAGGTGAGGGGGCAGTGACTGATGCATCAATAG